TAAGGAGATACACAGATAGAAAGACAGACGGGGAGGAGCCTAGGAGTCTGAACGTGGATGAGTGTGTATGAATCCGAGAGAGCGGGCCACGTGAGTACACACGGCCCACACGCCAATCAGATACAAGTCATAAACGCAAGTACCGCAAAAAACGAACCCATTTCCGGGCTTGCCGTCACCAAACGAGGTAAAAGTGACAGACGACGCAGTCTGTCCACTGTTCAGTAAATACACAACAGTTAAAAACGACACTGAAACCAGAACATTATACCATTAATTCTCATCGTCAATATTGTGATCATAATCTTACTAATGAAATTGAATGGACTAGTATAAAGAACATTCACACAACCATGAAACAGACCCTGAATTTTAGAGCAAGAGTTTGAACAACCTTCAGAAGGCCTGATGGCAAAAGTAATCGATCATTCTCGCGGGATAAAGCTTGTCTAATAACATACGAGCGTTGTTTGATCATCTGCGCAGGATCTAACTTAACTCTCACTTCCTCCTCCCTTTCCCCTTCGCTGACTTTCTTTCCTTTCCGTTCTCTGTTTACCCCCTCTATTTCTTCCCTCTCCTTTTCTCTCTCCTCCTCTTCATCCTCCCCTTCTTTCTGTCTCCCCTCTCCTTCTCTATCTCCTCCTCCCTTCTCTTTCTCTCTCCCTCCTCCCCCCCTCCCTTACTCTCTCCGCTCGCGCATATCTCTCCTTTCTTTTCTCTCTCTCCACTCTCTGCTATCTCCCTTCTCTGTCGGTAAGGTTTAATATCGTCTTAATCGAAAAACTGGATTCCTATCAGTAAAATAAATAAAGACAGACAGAAGAAAGAAACATAATAAAAGAAAGAGAGAGAGGGACAAAGAAACAAACATACGACAGGTCACCAACAAGAAAGAAAAAAACAACAAAGAAAACGTAAAAAATAAAAGACAAAACAAACGAAATCCCCTCATACATCTCTTCGCCGTCAATAAGCGGGGCGCCGTGCGTTCACAAGCGCCTGCAATCCAAGCCTCGTTGCAAAATACCCGATCGTCGCTCGCTGGGCAGAGGCATTTTATTTCGTCACCAGGGCCTCCCGACGCTGGATTTTATCAACTGATAAGGTTAACACAAAAAAGGCCTTTTATTCGCCCTTTTCGTGTCCCGTAGCCGGATTCTTCTCTAGGATTCCCAAATTATTGACGGCCATCTTGGCAAATGGGAGACGTTTGCCGCCCCCACAAACTCAGACACATGCGCACGTGTGCGCCCGCACACGCACGCACGCACACACACACGCACACACAGACACATACATACATACATACACACACACACACACACACACACGCACGCACGCACGCACACACAAACACACACATACACACGCACGCACACGCGCGCGCACGCGTACATACGCGCGCACACACACACACACACACACACACACACACACACACACACACACACACACACACACACACAGAGAGAGAGAGAGAGAGAGAGAGAGAGAGAGAGAGAGAGAGAGAGAGAGAGAGAGAGAGAGAGAGAGAGAGATTTATATTGAGAGCGGGAAAGAGCGTGAGAGACAGCGAGGCGAGAGAGTTATCGAGTGCCCTTGCTCCCCGCCGATACCCCAGCTCGTGACACCTTCACCCGTTACCTGGCAAGCACCTTGCATTCCCGCCGTGACGTCACGTTCACACAATCATGTCACGTGCAAACACCTGCAGCCTGCTCCTTTGCCTGCATGAACCCCGGGCCTTCCATGCACAGCCGAAGTCATTAACACATCTTGCAACAGGTAATGATGCAGCTTATTATCCACGACGAAAGGATCACCTGCTGACCTTTAGAACTAAAGCAATCGTGCAAGAACTCCTGCACAAATTGAGTTCCGTTGCATTCCTTTACAATGAATGGTTCAAATAAGCCAATTCGAAATTAATTACTAAAAAAACGTGATCGACAGGGCAAGCGTCTACACGTGGCCGAACAGGTAACTTTGCAAGTCATATGCGAGTCCAGATTACGGTGCTCTTGTTGCCATGACGACGCCATTTTTCTTAGCAACTACGGTGTGAGACATGCATGTGCAATGAGCATGATCAATGCAAACCATGATTCATTTATATATTTTTTTTTTCTTCAATCAACCGAAAATTACGCTCAAAATATACCAGCATCAGTATCAAAATGCCTTCTATTCAGAGGACTCTACTGAACTGACTAAAGTAACTGCAGAAATGAGTCAACTCCACGCACGTCAACCGCGGAATTCGAAATGAATGGAATTAAAAAGAGAGAGAGAGAGACATATAAACGTCGACTCATCTACCTTCCATCCCTCAAAGTCTTTCATTCAGTACTCCAGTTTCCGAGCGACGAACACGCGGAAAGTCATCATCACCTCGACTGAATGGCGTGGCCGCCATAATCCCGCACGGACGCCCCCCGGCACGGACGAAGAAGACCCTCGCTACATTAGGTCAGCGGATAATGAGCCTCTTAGGTACTGCGCATTTTCCCCTAATCCGTGGGCTTCCGGGAGCTATCCACAAGCCACGAGAACGTCCTACACAACGGCGCAAACAATAGCCGAGAAGCCCTTCCACAAAGCGCCAGGACAGGAGCGTGCGAGTCACCCGCGATGATAAGGGATGATAAGGTCAAGGCCTATCAACCTAGGCAAGTCATGGACATGGAGGATGAGAGACAGCGAGGTGGCTTTGGTGTGCGTGTTTCTGTTGTCGTTCTCCCTGCGCCCCGTGAGAACGCCTTCGTCTGTCCCAGTCTAATGCATCCTGGAATCCTCTTATACGACAGACCCTCCTCCCAGCTGGTTCGCAATGCTAAATCATTTCCTTTGACACCTTCGTCTTGCAGTGTCACACGACACACACACGGCTGTCCTCGCGCAAGAGAAAACAGCGACATACCTCGAGTCCAAAGCCTTCTCAGCCTCATTTGAATGTCAAACGGGCCAAGTGCCGCGTCACTCGCCCCCACGCCTCTCCTCCCTCCCGCCGGGGAGGGGGGGGGGGCTGCCACTCGCGCCAGCTTGAGGGAGGAACTCGTTCTCGATGCCCATTGGCTTCACGTTTCTTGCGGGAATCGCTCATTCGCAACACGAGACGGGGAGAAGGACGGCCGCGAATGACCCGCCGTGCATGACGCCAGACTGATCGTCGATTTATACGGTCCTCCTCTAGTCCCCATGACTCCTCTTTTCTTCTTTTTCTTCTTCTTCTTCTTCTTCTTCTTCTTCTTCTTCTTCTTCTTCTTCTTCTTCTTCTTCTTCTTCTTCTTCTTCTTCTTCTTATCCTTTTTCTTCTTTTTCTTTTTTTCCGCTTTTTCTTCTTCTTTCCCTCCATCTCCTTCGCCCACCTTTCCGACATCTCGTCGTGTCGAAACCTCTTCAAGGACCTCCTAGGCAACTAGCCCTCAAGACGGATCTGTCAGCCAGCCGGACACGCCGACAACACACACATGTATACTCAGACTCACTCACTCTCACTCTTGCTCGCATTCTCACTCTCTCTTTCCCTCACCTTCACCTTCACCACCACCTTTACCCTCACCTTCTTCTTCACCTCCTCCCTTTCACTCTCCCACAACCTCACTTTCTCTTCCTCTTTTCCCTACATCCTTCACCTTACCCTCACCACTTCCTCCCCCTCTCCCTAATCCTCATCCTCATTCCCCCCCTCCCTCCCCAGCACTTACAACTCCCCTCTTCCCCATCTTCATCTTTACCTTCACTCACCACACAGCTTCTCCCTCTTTTTCCCTTCCTCTTCTCCCTCCCCCTCTTCCTTCTTATCCCTTTCCCTCTCCCTTCGTATCCTTTTCCCTTTCCCTTTTCCTTCTTATCCCAATTCCTTTTCCTTTCCCTTTCTCCTCTCCTTCTTCCTCTCCTCCAGAGACAACGAGGCAGACAGACAGACAAACATCTGGCAAACAGACATCCGGAGTGCTACGACCCTCGTGAGCTTCCACTCTCGATTTCTAAGCTTTTAACGATCGAGTGCGTGGAATAATAGACACAGTGTCTGTGCATAAGATGGCGATGGCGAGGGGAAGTTAGCGTGGATCTTTTCCTTCATGCGTGAAAAACATGCAATTTAGTCATGCGTTTTCATTAGACTATATGGATATGAAACCAACTTCTATAAGAGGAAAATGCCGTAAGTAAATCAGCTATAACATATATAAATGGCATACAGATACACAAACTAAAACACACACACACACACACACACACACACACACACACACACACACACACACACACACACACACACACACACACACACACACACACACACACACACACGAAAGCAAAAAGACAAAAAATATCTTGTCTAAGATCTTCGAGTCGTTTATCTTTAAATTGTGATTCATGAAGTGTTCATTTTTTAAAATCCTTAAATGCTATGTTTTCCTTCAAGTGAATATCAATGTGTAAGAGCGTGGGCGGGGATGAAGGAGAAAGGGTGAGGGGGTGGTGGAAGGGAGGGGGAGGGAGGGAGAGGGGAGGATATATATATATATATATATATATATATATATATATATATATAGAGAGAGAGAGAGAGAGAGAGAGAGAGAGAGAGAGAGAGAGAGAGAGAGAGAGAGAGAGAGAGAGAGAGAAAGAGAGAGAGAGAGAGAGAGAGAGAGAGAGAGAGAGAGAGAGAGAGAGAGAGAGAGAGAGAGAGAGAGAGAGAGAGAGAGAGAGAGAGAGAGAGAGCACAAAGCGAGGTACACAGACATAGACACACAGACACAGGGACAGAGAGAAAGAAACAGCAAGAAGAAACCGTGGACAGCGAGACCAACAGACGCCAGCAAGACCCGCGGGAGGCCGGGTCGGCGGAGGAGACCCCAAGCACACGGCAAGTAAAGATGCCAAGGCTACCTCCCGGTGCCTAGACAGCGACACAGTGGGCTAGTGTTGGAAGCGTTGGAAGGAGAGGTGGCACCGGCCAGGGCACCTTTACTCCCCACCACGCCACTCTATCTTATCAGCGCCAAAACCGTTCGACCGTCGAGCAACATTTCCCGATTGCATAGCGACGCCAGGCCGTGTCCTCCAAGTGGCTTTAATCTACGACGGGAGAGAAAAAGGCATTTGCGTGCGGCGGATCTGACTGATGGCGGCGCAGTGTTCGAGTGATGGAAGGGATACAGGAAGGTATATGACGACGATGATGATGACGGTG